AAAACCCTGAAGGGTTTGGAAAACAAAAAAATTCAGCAGTGAAGTGGACGATTTTTTTTCCACACCAAATTGTCATCCTTTTCATCCATGGATAAACGAGCAAAAGTAATTCAGAAGAGGCTCATGCATTTTAAAGCATGCTAAGCCTTGTGAAGTTGGTCTTGCTGACCTCAAAAGCTGTAGCTTAATAATTCCAGCTAAAGCCACCTTAACCCTCAGTGTGATGCTCTAAGTTTTGCAGGCTGATTTCTGCCTTCTGCTGGTTTCATGTTTGTGCTGAGCACAGCGCAGCGTCCTGACCTGGCATTGCCTGACCCTCCTCCAGACAGGGTAATTGTGTCAGCCTGACTCTGAGCTTCAGGGCTTGTGAACTTTGGGATCCTGTCGCTAACACAGCTGCGCTACACTGGGGGCCTGAGCTGGTATTTTTGCAAGATGTGTAGTTTAGACTGACTGGAGCTGTGCAGCTCAATGCAGCCTCAGCTCCTCTGTCTGAGGCCTTTCAGCATGACTGAGAGCACCTCAGAAGCATGCCTCTCCCTCTGGGACCAAGAAGGAGCCTTGGTTCCTAACTTCAGGTAACCAGGTAGAGCTCAAAGACAATGCAGAACTTCAGGAGGCCTTCGAGAGCCTTTGAAATACAGGAGAAAGCAGAAGACACTCAGGGGCTCCTGAAGCACTGGGAAGGAACAAAACAAAACAAAACAAAACAAACTTTTACAGCACAGAAGTTCAATTCTATACCCTTAAAACCTGCACCAACTTTTAGCAAAGCTTTATGCATGCTTTAGATTAGCCATGTAATTACACCACAACCCCCCACAAGGATTTAATTTCAATTGAAAGCAGTAGAAGTAATAGTGTGCTTACAAATAAAGATAATTAAGATTTCATAGAAGTAGGGACTTTTTCATACAGGTACCAAGAGATTTAATGCCAGTGTATAGCACTTTCCATGACTCATAGAGTCTATAAATATGTACAGGTATTTTCAACCTGATCATTATATGCCTGGCCTAGCTCAGAAAGAAATGCTTAGGAAATGTGTCTCTTACAAACAGAAAATAATTGTGTAAATATCTAACTGGAACAAAATCCTATAGCTGATGTACCACACAGGAAATTCCATTTCAACATATTTCTTGATGCTTAATCTTGCCAGGTGGAATGGATCAACAAAAAGGGAGAAGTCACAGTACATGGTGAAAAAATGTTGCACATTTGTGGAGGTCATCCAATGGGACCTAAGAAAAATCCACAAAGCAGCTACAATTCTCATTGCTCAAGTTCAGCTTGGTTCAAGTTCAATGTCTATATATCTTGCTACAATTATTTACTTTTCAATTTATCAGTATCTTGCAAAAAAAAAAAAAATCTATTTTAACTGAAACTCCTTTTCAAGTTATTTTCCAATTTTTTTTTTCAATGGATTAATATATTATTTCAATTAAAATAGAGTAGTAGTGGAATAACAGGGGTAGGAAGTTGTGGTAGGAAAGAAGACACTTTCTACAGTTAGCTCCCAACAGCTTCTTCAGACTGTCTCTAGTATGATTCAATATTAGAGGAGTACCTTATTAATTTCAGCAGCATCAATAAGCACTGAATCATCTGCTTGTTTGACAGTGGGAAAAATTGAAAATGTCAGCACAATGTCATGACATGACACACTATACTATAACTGATCAAAGCACTCAAATTCAGAGGAAAATAAAATATTAAGAGGAAACTGTTGAACATGGCAACTGAGATGAAAAATGGAGATCTCCATAATAGGTCACTGCAAATCAGATTCAAAATGTTAAAAGAAAAGAGAGTGGATATTTCACATGAAACCTGAAGGTATTATTGATGAGATTTTTGTTTAATTCAATTCAAAACAGAAATGGGAGAGGAAAAACTTTTCAGAGTAAGCATGATTAAGAGCTGCCTTTCAGGAACAGGGTGTTGGTTTCTTAAATGCACTTCTAAGGTTAAATTTAAGCCCAAGATTAAATTTAACAGACATACTAGCTCAATCAGTTTTGTCTTTGGGTTCCTTACACCTCCTCTTTCAGCCATTAGATATATATGAAATAACAGGAGAGCAAAGAACTAGGATTTTGTAAAAAGAAATAGATAGATACAGTAGTGCCTACTTCCATGTGGATACATAATGGTTACAACAAGTAGAGTGTGAGGAGTAGCACCTAAGATGATGCAAGACACTGCAATGTTCAAAATCAGCTGACCTGAGAACAGGAGCTCAACACACACCAGGACTCTCTGTCTCAGCATCAGCTTAAGGACTGGCTTTGCAAGGTGCAAGTGTGTGCTGGACCAGAGACTCTGCAGGAGACCTTCAGAAAGCAGACAATTCTGGGAGTAAGTGGTGGGATCTGTGCCAGAGGCATTCTCCAGCCTCTTCCCCTGTGCCAGGAGTGCTGCTCTCCCTCCCCACAGGGCTGGGGCTGCCTGCTTTCTCACAAACTCCTGTGAACTACGAGTGATGTGTTGAAACCACCCCTTTCACTCTAGGCTGAGTGATGTTTTCTCTATACAGAGTCAGATTCAGAAAGACCAGAAAATGAATGCTGCTAGTAAATGAATATTAGCAAAGGGAAATGTCAAAAATGACTGGACAGTGAAAGATTACAGTCTTTGTTAGGATTCATTATACATGTAGGCTAATGGCACACGTTTCACAAGTGTCTGTAATAGATTGTCTTCCTTTGTGCAAATGTATTTTCCAGTTTCACTCTCTCCTGAGCTGAGTGTGAGGTTCAGAGGGGGAGAGAGAGAGGGGGAGAGCCGCTTCTGCTTCAGCCCAAGACCCAGGGATCCTTAACAGTCACCAGGACATTGCAAGGTCTGCAAGGGTGCTTGCTTGGCTTTTCCACAGAAGAGAACTTGGTGTGTTTTGGGTAGTGATGAGTGTTGGTCAAGGAGTAAGCAGAAACTCAATGGGACAGCAATTCATACAGATTACAACAAACTACACATTCCATTCCATCCATAATTTTCAGAGAAAAGTGGAGCTATCCTAATTTTTAATGCAAATTGGGGAGTTGCAGTTCCCATTAGAGCCAATAGATTCTCCACTCTTTCTAGTAATGTATTTAAAACTAAATCCCTGAAATCTCTTGCCTAAGCAGCATTAATCATGCTAGATCTTAGCCATCAATCATCAATTGGCTTTTATGAATGATTAGGTTAACAAAATAGAACAGAATGTCTTAAAGTTGTTGTTACAGACTGTGGGCTAAAAACACCTACTCTCCCCATCTCCTCTTTGACTACAATGGAGTAGTATTGCTGAATAACACAAGGTGGGATATGATTTGCTAACAGTACCTGTCCATATGTTACATTGAGCACCTGTTAGTATTTAAATATCTCACTTCAAAGTATCCAAAACTTTGTACAAGTCAGATCTTAGACATATTTCACAGACATGGAGAAATTGAATAGCATTAGGTGTTATTAACCCCCAAAACTTTGGTAAGTACAATGATATACAAAATGCTAAAAATTGCTTATCTCATTCCAGAATCTGCTCATATGCCAGCCTGCATGTGGGTTCCTAATTTTTTTTCAACTCCTGTACCTTCAGAATGTGTACAAAGAAGGCCCTTACATAATGAAGTGGTTTTTATAGCAAGCTAAAACCATGCTGAAGAGATTAAATGTTGAAAGCTATTTTTAGCCAAACCAATGGTATCAATTTCACTAATAACATAAGCTGCAGGTGTCTCCTAAAGTATGAAGTAAGATGGTGGAAAACCTAAAAAGACAAGAGGCTACTGACTACAGAAAAGTAGCAGTTCCAAATTACATTAAATCAGGCAATTCTGTCCAACACTCCCCCTGGTGGTTTTGCTCACAGTGATGAACGTGAAGTCGCATACATGCAAAATCCTCTAGCCTAATGACTAAACGTCCAGTTAATAGGATTAAGTACCTTCTCATCAGATAAGTAGAACATGGCAAAATCCCTGACACTCCCAGAAATAAGTTCAGAACACAGCCCAGCCCCTTCCTGACGCAGGGAGCAATTTTGTAGAAGAGGTGCAAAATATTAATGGTAAATATACTTGCTTTTTTTTACTTTTCTTTGGTGGCGTGTTTGTATTTCTTGGCAGTTAATTGGTGTTTCGCTGTAAACATAAAGGCACAATATGCAAGTAACTGTAGAAGTAAATCCAGGCTATAAATAAATCCAGGTTTTTAATTTACATATGCTCTTGTGGCTGATAATTGCATGTCTAAGAAGGCTATATTGGCTAGCTACAAAGCATCTGAATACTGTGTTCACTTAATCAGATGAGAACCATAAAGTGCAGTTGCACAGTTTCTGAAAAATAAACCTTTTGCCTCTGCTCTTAGGAGGGAAATAAAGCAAATGGCATTTCTTTCCCTTATTTTGTAGGGATTTCTTTCATTTGCTGATCTGTTTGTTTACAAAATTGATCTAATTGCTGATTTTTTGGCACACCTATTGTTAGTCTCTTATATTAAGTCTTATTCTGAAGGACACTGAAAGGAATTGCATGTTTACAAAAAAGGGAACAACATTACAGAAACTTCCCTCTTTAAAACTGGCAATAGTGTTTAGCATGAATGTATTTATAATATGAACTAAGGACACGATATGAGATCAGCAATTGGTGTGTTTCACAAAGTAGAAAAGGGACAGACTGGACACCAGCAGCTTTTGATTTTATATATATATTTCCTGATTCTGTTAACCACTGTGCAAACTCAGTGGAACTCATCTAATTAATCTAAATAAGTAATTACAAATGAGGTCAAGCTTCTTACTCATGTATTTTCACAAAGAGCAGCACCTAGGTGCATGCTATACATATCAGAAACCATAGTTAGAGAAAAAATTAACGGGATCTTGTAAAATACCTGGTATTATAGTCAGTATTTATATTTACTTAGTAGACCTAGACATCTGAGCTTCCTGACAATGCTTACATGTTACTGCACCGAACTTTTTCTTGAACAGAAAGAACATGAGGTTCTCCTGGATATTTATAATACATGTGCTGTGTCTGAGTGGCCACCAGTGTGCACCGACGAAGCAGGAGGAGATGAATCTCCGGGACAACCTCAAGCGTATGTATGCTTTTCCTGCCGGGATGTGCTGGAATCCCCCAGGCCTAGGTCTCCAGCTGGGTAGAGCATCTTGACTTCCACACTCACTGGCATCAACAACTCCCACTTGCAAGTGTGGAGCTTAGAAACCATAATAAAGTTGACTGCATGCCTACACACACACAATAGGAAGATAAGAACAAGCAGGATGAGAAAGTAAAGGGATTAACAGATAAGCATCACCTCCCAAAAGAAAAAAAGTATTTACAGGATTTTTATAGGTTATTTGGTTCCTTGTAGATCATCAGAATAGAAACTAAACCCAAAATTCAGTTCAACAGATTTTGAACTATTTTGTTTGTTCAAATAATCTTTGAAAATATTTCCTCTACACTTACATACTTCACTGAAAAAGGTGGCTTTTACAAACAACTGAAAAGAAAATTACTTAATTTAGAAAGTAGCAGCTATTGTGCACACACACACACACACACACACCCCTCTCAAAGCATGGCTTTATTTTGTGGAGAGAAAGAGGATCAGCCATCAAAAAAATCCTGTGCTTCAGTCTATGTTGACAAGAATTCTGTAATAAAGAAAAAGTTAGGGGTGAGGAAGAAAGATATAAAGGAAGAAGTGATCAATGTGTTTTTGGCAGTCTCAAGGCGAGAAGATTTTACTAATTTTCTATAGTAGCAGTGATAGTCAGGGTATTTCCACAAAGAAAACAAATAAACAGATAAAGGACAGGCAATCATGCAGAGCCTGAAGGTGCAATGCATGGGCCAGGCCAGGTTTTCACCAAAACTCTACTGGTCATTACTTCACAAGAAGTCTAGAAATTGTATTTTTATGAAAACAGGTTGAATGCACTTGTATTCTACATTTTCAAAATGCAGAGGGAACCTGTCACAGGCTTCTACCAGATCAAGGATAAATATAAAGGTTATGTTATTAGAAAACTGATGAGCGATCCTTGGTGATATTAAAAACCCAGGGTGATGTCCTGTGCAACCTGATGTAATTGACCCTGCTTTGAAAGGGGCAGAGGGGGGCAGACTCAATGATCTCCAGAGGTACCAGCCCCAATTGTTCTGGGATTCAGTATTCAGCAGTGGGACAGTTGAATATATCTTTTGAGTTACATACAGCTGATCCTTGCAAAAGCTCTGGGCTGGATGCTTATCTGATGGAAATTGTCTTGGCTCAGTGTCATTCAGCGTTCGCTATCTCAGATTTGGCTCTGCCACTGTAGGGAAACATAGAGCTATTTCATTCTCCATCATCAGTGCATGACAATTTGCAATAGTGTTAAAATCTGATTAAGTCACTGTATAATTTGGCTTTTTTTAGAATTATCTGAAGTTGGAGAGAAGTATGTGGATGAAGAGGTAAAGAAAGCTTTGATTGGTATTAAGCAGATGAAAATTATGATGGAAAGAAATGAAGATAAGCACAGAGATCTGATGAAAACCTTGAAGAAGAGCAGTGAAGAAAAACAGGTAACATAAATGCATTTGTGGGGGTTTTATGTTTATTCTGGGAAGAAGGTAAACCAAACTGTATGCACAAAACAAGCAGTGTACATCTTTTCACGCAGTCACAGGATTGAGACAAAATCTGCTTCTGCCCCTTTGTCTCACTAGCAGAGGAAAATTGCAATACTGCTTGTTTCTAAAATCCCCTGCTTCACTGAATTCACACCAAGGGAACTGCAGGCCACACAGAACAGTGTTTTGTGCACAAGGTCCAGCAGCTCTGCCCTCCATATTTCTATACTCCTGGGGCCACAAGATGTTCTCCAGCTTGCTCTGCAAACTTCAGACCTGCAGGAGAGTATCAAGGCCACAAATGATAATGTGCTCTAAACAAAGTACAGTGAATCAGGGAAATTTCCAATGTCTTAGTGCAATGACTAGGCTCAGAGCTGTGTGCTCAGATGATCTGAAGAAACTCTACATTTAAAAAAACACAAATATCCTAACTTTGTTTCAATAAAGTTGAAGGAAAATTCTCTCCTGGCCCAACATCTGGTAGTTAGTTTAAACTAAAACAGTACCTGATAGCTTTCTAACATCTTAAGGAACACCAGTGCACTCCCACAGTCAACATTCTTGTTAGATCTTACTGGATGATTTAATTTACACAGGACTTACATTCACAGTGAGAGTTCATAAAACACTGAATAAATGTATTAGAAAGATCAGAAAATAACTGAACAGAGATTATGAAAACTGCAGTCATTTTCTCCCTCAAGCACATTCTGACGCAAGTTTTCTTTTATGTGAGTCTCTTCCCTATTGGAATGCTGACAAAAAGGAATAAGCCCCATCAGTTAAAAGGTTTCTGTCATACTTAGAGAGAACTTGGAACATTGTTTGGAAATGAAAACTATTGAAATATGTTGCAATTGGAGAGAGAAATTGATGATGTGTTATCTACTCCAATAGGAAGAACTTTTCTCTTTCCATTGTCAGGTCTATTCCAAAAATACTGCTTCTGATCTACTCAGCTTTGTGCCCTAACTGATGAAGCAAATAGAAGCAGCATTGTGAAATGCATCTTGTTGCCCTTCAGTATGGAAGGAGTGACTCACACTTCCACAAGAGCAGGAAAAAATCCCCTTACTACAGCCTTTTGATTAGTACACTCACAAACAGCAGAGATGCTATACTGTTATATATTTCTGCATAAGACAGACTTTATGGCAAGGACCTACCCTAATGAAATATCAATCCCTTAAAGGTAGAGAAATGCAACAGAAAAGGACTGTTTGTGGGACAGATGAATACTGTTCAGATGATACAGAGAAAAAATAACAGAAGTTGAACACATGACCATGTGGGAGGCTGAATTCTTACACAGAATGATGTGTGAGGTTTTTTTCTTAACATCAAAAATCCTGTTAGACTTTAGAGATCCATTTGTTTCTGTAGGCTGTGCCCCCTGAGAGAACAACATCAGAAAAACCCTATAAGGAAAAGGTTTTCAATTTTCAGTCCCCTCCATATGTGACTGCAGCTGAGAAGGCAACCTAGCCTAGTGGTTAGGGATTAGCAAAAAAAAAGAGCCATAAAGAGCCAAAATAAGTGATGAACACCGGGGTAAGTACTTAGAATACTAATCTGAAAATTGCCCTCAACTGAATCTTTTTCCTTATTTAGCAAGCCTTGCGACTTATGGATGAAGTAAAGGCAAGACTGGAAGAAGAGGAAAGACAATGTCAAGTATCCTTGAAAAATCTATGGGATGAATGTGAATCTTGTTTAGAAAGTACCTGCATGAGATATTACACAACTTGCAAACATGGTGTGTCAACCTTTAAGAGAAAGGTAGGAAGAAACTTTTCATCTGGAGAACACTGTTGAGTTCACCCAAAGAGACAGCACATCTTATTTTCGCAATACCTAGGTCTGCCAGTTACATCAGCTTACTAAAATTAATCTGATTTGGAGGGTCTGGAAATATGAAGTTATATGGTAGAGATTACATGTGATTATGGTCATGGAATGCTGAGCCAAAATGAGTTCAGTTGCACCCTGGCAAGATTCCATGGAAACTGATGACTCCCCTAACTCCAACAGATTCATTCCAGATATAAAATGTGTTCTGTCACAGTGGGACTTGCATTAAGATGCTCAATAACTATTTGTGAAAAATACCATATAGATTCTTTACGGTCCATCCAAAAATCAGCAAAGTTAAAAGTGTAGATGTAGTTAGCAAAATTACACGGGGGGAAAAAAATCACCTACTTATTACACCATTCTTTCCTGTATTTATCTTAAATAAACTCTTTAAGTAACAAACAAAACTTTAAAATGCTTAACCTCTTATAATAAAGGAACCTCTCAGAAAAGGAGATCCCCCTAACTCTACTAGAAATAAAATATGGCTTCCTGACTGGCCCATTATTACTACAAAGTTTAACAATTGTAATCACATTTTTTTGTTTGGGCATACGCTTTAAGTGCAACAAACTTCTGAAGCAAAACTGTAATTGCTTCTACTAAAATGTTAGACACATTCCCTAGCTTTCACCCCCCCATGTACTGAAAAATACAAAAACATTAAACATAGTGTTTCAGACAGGACTTAGAGCACAGGTGTTTAATATTTGTGCATATTCTTAAAATAATTCAGGTTAAAATATGGAAGATATTAAATTTAAAACTATTTGTGATACTTTTAGCTTTTTAGGTATCACTAATGGGTAGCTCATATAAATGTTTTGGATTTTCAAGATTCTGCAGATGCTGCAACTACTGCAGTAAAAGTTATATATTGCATTGTCCCTGTCTTTGACCCTCTTGGTCATGTCCCCCATCAATTATTTGGTTTATTTGAAGCATTCAAAGTAAGAGCTGTGTTACGACATAAGTTATTATTAAAAAAAAAAAAAAAAAGAAAGAAAAGAAAAAAAGACAAAGATGATAGCTGTAGCTGAGGACATACAGACAGCAGGAGCAATACTTGCTTAGGCTGTTCCTGCAGTTTCACACTTCACCTTCCTTCTAAGCTGCACTAGTGGTCAGATCAAGCTGACGATTTGGGGTTTTGGGTTTTTTTTAATTGATATATATAACTGTCTTTATGTATATCTATCTGTATCTATATCTATATATGTGTGTTTTAGCAAGGTGCTTCTTAACCCTTGCCCATTTTCTAATGCCATGGAGTGTGGCTCAAAAAGCCACTCCATTGGCTCAGGCCAAAGCAGCGCCTTGGAGTGGGGAGCAGGGAACCAGTGGCCGAGACCCAGGAACTGGAACTCTGTAATAGCAGAATTGACACTTGGCCTCCTACATGGTGAAACCATGGACTCAGATCCACTGCTTTATTGATTTTGCTGGTTTCCACTCACACAAGGACATGAGGATTTGCCCAGGGGTGAGAGAGGGGAGGCTTTTTACAAATCAAGGTGAGAACAATCACATTCTGCTCACTACACCACACATAAGCAGACAGAAATGCATCTCACATCTTTACAACATGAAGTCCAAGGTGCCTGTTGGAAGAAATCCAAATGCTGACAATAACTTTGAGCCCCCACAGGTTAAAGGGCAACTGGCAGAATTTTTACTCCAGATCTGATTTGGAACTAATCTAATGATTTAGATTGAATGCACATCTTAAATTATTTCAGAGAATACACTGTGCTGGCAGCTATTAAGAGAGCATTGTTTCTGTGAGTATTTGAAAGACAAAAATTAGAGACACTTACCTGAGAGATGAGAAACTGATAACTTGTCTGTCTCCTGATCTGTCTCCTTCTTATACTCAGGTTGAAGACTTTTTGAGGAAAATACCTCCACTCATATTTACTTTTCATGAGGAGCAAGGAAGAGACATCCAGTCTAATGAAAAGCCTGAGAAAGAGGATACCCAGCTATTAAAGATGGAAGATTTATTTAGCCAGCTATTATCAGATGTGGGCTCAATATTTGACAGAAGTTTCATTTTTTTCAAGCACATGCAAAAAGAATTTGACCAGTCTTTTCAGACTTATTTCATGTCTGACCTGGAGTTCAGTGAGTCCCCCAGCATGCCAGCTTTACCCGAGGTCACCACCAGAAGTGAAGGCTCCCAGAGAGGCTGGGGCATGCCAGGCTTCTTACAGATAGTTTTTGATTTCAGCAGGACGGTGTTCGAAGGTGTCAGTGAGGTGATCACCGATGTGTTTGATGAATACAGAGATTACAGAAGAGATGTGCCAGAACAAACCAAAGGCAAGTGTTAGAAGATGAAAATTGACTGCACTGTCAATGACATCAACCCCCTTGGGATGGCTAAACTACAGCGAATTACTCAGTTTCCAGTATGTGAGTGTGAGATATGTAAGGAAACTCTGGAGGCTATGGGTCAAGGATAGCTATCAGTTAAATGAACAAATAGAAGTCACCTAGAAATCTCAGAGAAATGTTGCAGGGGGACTTAGGGGTACTACACAGCCTGATTTTAATGGCAATTCTCAAAGCATTTGTAGGAGCGCCTCAGGAGGACTTAAATTCGGGGTGGATGCAGGTTTTCATAAGGCTGACTGACAGATTTAATCTCAGCATTTTTCAGGATATGATTTGTATAATCTCTTATTGAGATGATACACCAATTCTAAAAAGTTAGGGTAATTCTGTGAGATGTCAAGGCATATCCCTGCCCTTGCCAAATGATGTTAAGTTCAGCTTGACAGCTGCAAGTCCCGTTGGAGGCTACAGCAGCAATGTAATTTGACAATCAAATACCAGCTAATCAAAGACCAGCCATCAGGTTTTCCAGTGACCAGAAAATTCTGGGCATACCATTGGCGATGACACTCAGTGAAGGGAAAGGACCCTGGCCGACTTTTAGAATACAAATAAGTCTCATATTTGACTATTACAAACAGGACAAATATATGCTGGTCCTTGTCTACAGGGAAATCACAGTGAGCACATGCCATAACTCTGAGTGGCAGGTGCATAAACATTACGTGATCATCAGGAAATACAAAGTTAAGTGACTCTTGAACAGTGTTTTTTAATTTTTCTCTATATCATAAGCCCTGTTATCTCAGAAACAGACTTGAGTACTTTGTTCTCATGTAACTGTAAGTGATTATGAAACGCCTTGACTTCTAAGGGCCAAAAAGATCTTACCAGGACTCACATGTTATAGAAATATTGTGTATTAATATTAGCAGTTGTTTGGTTATGTCTGGAGAATACACTCCTAAGTCTTTATAAAGGAATATACTACAACATGAATTCCTTGAAAGAAACACGATTTGAATCTTCTCCTGACTTCTACTTTTTAATAATTTATTCCTTTTATTTTTGGGGAGGCAGGGGAAATGGAGGGGTAGGGAAGCGAATTTATGCAAAATACTTTGGATTAAAGACAAGAAATTGTATTCCAGCACTCAGGCTCGGTAATGAATGCATACTTATAAAGACTCTAAGTTTAACAGCACTCTAAAAATACTATGACTTCATTCTAGATCCTGACAGAAGTGGCATGTTTTCAAAAATTGTGTCAGGGCGCCAGAGACTTCAGTGCAGGGAGCTCCGGGAGAACTCCTCTGGATGCCCACAGTTTCATGAGAGATGCCAGAAATGTCAAGACAATCTTTTCCATGGTAAATAACTATTTGCCTTTTTTTTCTTTTTCTTTCTGTAATGCATTGATGACTGGTTTATAGATTTTGAGGTTTTAATTTTCTACTGGAATTAACATTTAACATAGTCACTGAGTTTTTACTGTAACCACGGCTACAATAACCATTCCTCATTCCAGATGATTTCAATTTAGCTTTCCCCACTGTCTCCACAGAGTGTCAGTATAGCTCAGTTCTTAACATACCGCTGGTGCTCGAGACGTCCCACAGCCTATAACAAAATATATAGGTATTTTGTTAGAGCTGCAGTCCTGCAGAGAAGCAAGATGCCAGGCAGCATTCGATCCTGCCTGGGTGCAGCAGTGCTGAGCAGAAAGCGAGGAGAAGCTCAAACTCCTGACAGTCACTTCTCCGGCTGACAAGCAGGTGTAACCTCAGGTATCATTCAGCTCTTCGCAATGAAAGCAAGTGCTGAAAAGCCTGTAATTACTTTTTGTTGAACCCTGTCTGCAAATAGAACTGACATGAAGGACAAAAAGGGGACTTGATGTCAGTATAGAAGGAGATGGCAGAGCTCTGTCGGCACCATCCGTGTGCACCTGAAAAACCTTCAGATCACCTAGAACTGCTGTCAGGACTCCCGCTGCAGCATAGCATATCTGCCTTTCCAGAATTATTTAGATCTTCAAATCCAAGGAATATGCTTAAACATAAATGTCTTCAGAATATCTCCAATGTGACAAAGAAACGTATCTCCAGTGTGGCAAACATCAATGAGCAATGAAACCCTTTTAAAAGAATATCCGACCACTTATCTTTTTATCTACACCCATGTACTACAGATACTAGTTTGTTACTGTACCATCACCTTGAAGGTGCCCCTTGATAATCCAGTTTGACAGCAAAAAAATTGAATTTTTACAGAGCAATTATTGTATAGAATTTTTTTTGTTTAAAATCCATATTTTAGTAAAGAAGAAAACCAGCAATCTTCCGTTCTGAATTTGTGGCAGATGGTTCTAGTCTCATACTACTGTCTAGCTATTGTAAGATAAATATTAGGTCTTAATACGAATACAGGTTTTCTTGTAATAACCTCTATCACAGAATCATATAATAAATTGGGGTTAAAGGGACCTTGGTCTAGATGACAAACCCCCCAGAAATCAGCAGGGACATCTTCATCAAGATCATGTTGCTCCAAGCGCCACACAATCTGACCTTAAATGTTTCCAAGGATGGGACATCTATCTGCTCTCTAGGCAACTTGTTTCAGTGTTTCACCACCCTTATTGTAAAAGCTTCTTGCTTACATGTAATCTAAATCCACCCTCTTTCAATTCAAAACCATTACCTCTTGTTCCCATCTTTCTTACAGGCAATAAGTGTCCCCAGAGACTTCTCTTCTCCAGGCTGAATAACCCCAGCTCCCTCGGTCCATCCTAATAAATAGGATGGACCCAGACTCTAACAGTTTTTTGGCTCTCCTCTGGATTTGCTCCAACAGGTCCATGCCATTCTGTGCTGAGGAGGTTTGACACTGGCCCAATGCCAGACATCCACGAGAATTGCTTGCTCACCCTCCCCTGCCACAGCCGGGCAAAGGAGGAAAAAGAAAAAAATTAATGAAGGCTTCGTGAGTGAGATAAGGACTGGGAGAAATATTTAAAGGCCAAAAAAGGCTCAAATTTTGTTGTGAAGTGAAATTTATTACTAACAGAATTGGAGGAGGGTAATGAGAAGTAAAATAAGCCCTAAAAACACCTTCTCTCCCCAGCCCCTCCCTCCTTCCCACCAACAGCGAATGGCATGGGGTTTTGGTCAGTTCATCACCGAGATTTTCTTTGAATCTTGGCTCTGGTGCCTGGAGCAGCTCCTCCCCCTCCTTCTCCACTGACCTTGGTGTCTCCATGTTGTTTCCCTCACATGTTCTCATCTCCTCCTCTTCTCTGACAAGAAGAAAAACCCTGTGACTTTTTTATTTTCTTCTTAAGTATGTCATCACAGAGCCATCACCAACCTCGCTCATTGGCCCAGTTTTGGCCATCTTCAGAGCCATCAACCATTGGATCTGCCAGACATGGTAGGAAACTTCCAGCAGCTTCTCACAGGAGCCATCTTTGTGGCCCCCTGTTACCTAAAACCAGGCTGTGCCACACCCACACAGGAATCCAGACCTGGATTAAGTACTTTAGGGGTCTTATGAGAGAAGAGTATGGGGGCAAAATCACCTCCCTCAACCTGCTGGCCACAATTCTTTTGATGCAGCCCAGGATGTGTTTGGCTTTCTGGGGTGTGAGCAAACACAGCCAGTTCATGTCCAGCTTTTCATCCACCAGCACCCTTAAGTCCTTCTTGGCAGGGCAGCTCTCAATCTGTTCATCTTCCAGCCTGGGTTGATAGCAGGAATTGCCAAAGCCAGGTGCAGCACCTTGCACGTGGCCTTGCTGAACCTCATGAGGTTCGCCTGGGCCCACTTCATGAGCTTGTCCAGGTCTCTCTGCATGGCATCCCATCCCCTGGGTGTGTCAACCACACCACTCAGCTTGGTGTCATCTGTGAGACCGCCAAGGGTGCACTCCATCTCCCTGTCCATGCCATTGATGAAGACAGTACTGGACACAATACAGACTCCTAAGGGACACCACTTGTCCATTATGTCTTTCTGGGCATGAAGCCATAGACCACTACCCTCTGGGTATGACCATCCACACAATTCTTCATCCACCAGACATTCCACCCATCAAATCCTTATCTCTGCAATTTAGGGAGAAGGATGTTGTGGGGGACCGCGTCAATGGCCTTACAGAAGTACAGATAAATGACTTCTCCAACCCTTTCCTTCTCCACTCCTTCTTCATGGAATCACTCCATCATAGGAGGCCACTGACTGGTCAGGCAGGACTTGCCCTTGGTGAAGATCTGCTGGTTGTCCTGAATTGCCTCCCTATTTTTCATGTTCCTAAGCAGAGCTTCTTGAGGATCTGTTCCATGATCTTTCCAGGCACAGAGGTGAGGCTAAGGGAGTGTAGTCCTCAGGGTCATTCTTACAACCCTTTTTTAAAAAATCAGTGAAATATTTCCATTTTCCAAGTCACCAGAGACTTCACCTCTCTTCCATGACTTTTCAAATATCATGGAGTGTGGCTACATCAGCCAATTCCCACTGGATTCATCAGGACCCACAGACTTAAATATGTTAAGCTTCCTCATGTGGACTTAAAACTTCTCTTACAGTGGAAGGAACTTTACTGCCTCAGCCCTGCCTTGCAGTCTATACACCTTGGATAGATTCATAATAGAATATGAGCCAATAAAAGAAAATAACGTATAAGAAGACTATGAAGTTGCTATATATAAAATTTACCAGATTTTATTTAGCATTAACAGAAAACCTATTGCCATGAAATATTATATAAACCTTATATTATATAAACTTGCTAAATTACTTTAATACAACAAATGGGATAATGCACTCATTTAGTCATTGAGTCTAAACTAAATCTACCGTAATCAGTAAGCAAAAATTATTCTCCTTTTTCAGCATTATTTAAAGATCCATCCAAACCATGCCCCCTCACTAGGCTTTTTTACAGTTTTCATTTCTTCAGACAGAAAAGATGAAGTACAAGACATAACACTGTCTTTTCTAACAGATTGCCCAAACGTTCCTGAGCTGCACATAAAGTTTGATGAAGCCTTTAAGCTGGTTAATCTCTCAGGGGAGCAGTACGAGCAGATTCTCCAGGTGGTTCGGCATCACACGGAGGACACTTCCTACTTGCTGAACAAAATGAAAGAAAGGTTTGGGTGGGTGTCTGAGTTATCCAACATGACCATTGGACCAGAAAACATTTTCAACATAGTTAAGGTAAGGGTTGTCTTCTGAAGGGAGCTGTTACTGTCTTTAAACTGCATTTTGCTCATGTTTACGCTCCTGGAGGCTGTGGATGTTGATACATGTGTAATGTTTGGCTCTACAACATGACTTCCCTACTCATCTTGAATTTGTGTGTGCTTGGTAATCCCTCAATGAGCTGAAACTCCTGAGATTAGAAACTATTTTCCTCTAAATCCTTTTAGTCTGATGGATGGCTGACAAGCTAACCTGAATCACTGTCTGATAAGAGTAAATTGACACTAGCAGCTTTGACTGGCCTCAGATTACCTTCCCAGATAAATTGCACTGCACCAGTGACTAACACATCCACATTGGATCGATGAATGTCTAGCTGTCCGTGTCTGTACTTACATATTCCAAAGTTCAAAGAAGGCAAATATTATACAGATTTTTGCAATGGAAGCTGCACACGCTTGACAGCATCGGTCAATATTTCAGTAAATACATAATTATTGATTGTGTCTCACACACAAAGATACATCCAAGGTAAATTCAATCAATTTTCCTCGGCAAGGGACAAATCTTATTCTCTCTTCTAACTCCACTCATATATAGCCAATTACTACTATTACTACCAGAACTTTACAGAAAATGATAGTACAATCCACCGAAAAAAAAAGCACAAAATAGGAACAGGAGACAGGCACACTTTCCCAACTGAGTCTGAGATTAGATATCTTTTCTAGGAAAATAAAGCTACAGAACTAAGTCTGGTTTAGAAAAACACACAGGAATGAATAAATTCAATCACACAAATGTATTGAATTTAGTAGGACAGCTGAGAAGTTTTCATTAGGAGAACAGAAGTTCTTTATAGCTGTAGCTCATGATATAAATATTAACATGCAGTTCTTTGATATGGTCTTGGCAGTGCCATGTCAGCTCTTTCCACCACCTACATAAATTCAGACACCCACTGTCTTTTCAGAAGAAAGCAATTTAAAGAAAGTAGACAAGTCTAAAATATTCCCCTTTAATTTTCCCCTATTAAAGAGAGTGGGCACAGCAGGTATAAACAAAACTGAAAGCACACAGTAGTTTGTGGTGTCTAAAGTACTGATCTCTTCTAGGTGGTACCTGGGGATCCCTCCAGTAAAGATGAAACTGTGGTAGATGTGAACGTTCTGACTTCACCTACTTTCACCATTAAAGTTCCTCCCAACTTAGATCCCAAGAGTCCTGAGTTCATCGAATACATAGCTGGGAAAGCACTCCAATTGTATAAGCAGAATTTTTAAGTGGTAAGTTCATTATTTCTGCTTTCACAGAGAACACACTTCTTCATAAGAGGTGTTTACATTGCAATAAACTTTAGCTGGAACAAGATTCATTCATGGTGTATACAAGACTGCCTTCTCAGAAAGGACACATTGAGAAAAACACAAGTGTTATGGAAAACATAAACAATCAATGTTCTAGCCTGCAAAACACATACACGATGATATTAAATGATTTGACTTATTTAACTGTGAAACCCCCAATCTTTAAGTAACAGCTGGGATGAGGTAATGTGATAATAAATATTTCTTCACAAAAGAATTGCCTCACAACCACAGTCCAGTGTCTTGGCATCAAAAACCATGTCTTTGTGTTCACTCATCATGAATGGACTGGAATTACCACTATTCATTATGTTTTTGGGTTTTTTTTGTTTTTGTTTTTGTTTTTTTTTTAATTTTCAGCAGTGTTTGACAGCATGCTCGTATTATTGTTGATGATAAAGGAGGGCAAAGTGAGAATCACCACCAGGGCTTGGAAGAGTTGCCTTGCCATAACATTTCTGCATTAGCAGCAGTCTGCTCAGATTAACAGTATTTATTAATAGAGGCTGCAGTTCAACTTGCAGGACCATGCACAGAAAGATCCTGCTCATGGGCTTCAACCAGTTTTGTAAAAAGGACACACAAGAAGGCGCTCTCCTTGTTTAAAACATTTCAATAAGTGGAAGGAAGAACCAGGCAGAGGGGCAGGGAGGACAAATGCTTTATGTTCTCTAATCCCACTGGGAATTTCCAGGAAAGATGGCATGGTTTTAGGTGGCATCACACTACTGTGAAACTTGTAAACCACCCTTCCCAGTGCTTCCATTCAAGGGGGCTCTGGAATGCACAGCTTTAGTGGCCTCTGACTCTCAGAGTTGTCTCTCCCAGGGGAATACAGCCAGAAGACACTTGAAACTTTCAGGCAAATCACTGCAGTGTCCCCAGATCTTCTGAGAAGGATGAGATTTGGACACAGCTTCTCTTTAGTTCAGAGGTGATTTCCTCAACTGAGCAATTGAAGCATGACCTGCACACAAACCGAAGTCTCAGGAGGCAGGGAAAGAGCATTCAATGTTAACAAAGTAGATGACTTTGTAGCATTTTCTATTATATCTGCTTATTCTTTTGAGGTCAGAGGCACACTTTTTGCGCAGATGAAAGAAATCACTCCCACCAGAGAGGCTGAGGTGGGCTGCAGAATTTACACAGAATAGAATAAACCATGTACTTTGCTTTGGTGAAATTACATATTGATATTTATAAATATTTGAAATAAAATGCTCCAACACTTTCTCTACAATTTTCTTCAAAATTCTCTGTAATTTATATGTAGTTATAAATATAAATGATAAATACTCTTTCAGATTACAAAATACTAATCTTCAGGGCCTAATGAGGCAACAATTATTTCTGTAGTTTGATGATGATTTTTAGCCTGAATCTTAGTCTGATTTTCCTGTGGACATATATTGTGTAGCCATTTAATACCTGAAAAAAGTAAGCAACATTGATTTCAAAATCACACCACCATTCAAGTTTGCACAAGGCTTAGAGTACATGAAAATGTAATAGATAAAAAAGAGTTAAAACTTTACAAGAAAACTGGACAGATCTATAAGAACAGAAAGGGAGAGAAAAAGAAAAGTTTCTCTCTCATTTTTATGTTATGCATGTTTCTATAGCAAGACACTGCTACATTCCACATATACTTACTTTTCTAACATATTTTTCTCCATTCAAAATGAAAATGTATAATCTTTCTTCTTTTTTTTTCCTCCTAGGGAAGAAGAAGTGTGAATTCTTTCTTCCTGAAATAAAGTATATGCTCCTTAGTTGAACTACCCCTATGCTCAACATAGCTAACTGTTAAATTTCTATGGTTAAAATAGCTGCATATAAATAAAATGTTGCTTAGTAAATACTGTGACATATAAGCTATCAACCAAAGACTGCAGAAATCGTTAAACTGAAACCCAAAACCAAATCCATTTCAATATTAGTTCATTTAAATAAAATGTTATTTATGTTGTCAGTAAGTAATCTTTGATAACAAACTATGGCTCTGGTTATGCAAAGATTTAAGGACATAATCAGCTGTAAGCATAAAAGTAATTTCTATTTGCATACTTACATTCAAGCACATTCTCAAGCCTTTTCAAGACTGATCCCTACAGATGTTGCACATTCAGCTAAGTCTGAATGAACCAGATTTCCATCTGCATGTAGCATATTATTTTGCAATGAAAATATTCAATTTTTCTTCCAGCTGCTTTTGAAGCTTATTGTGTACATTAAATGACTTATCTGAATATGCACTAATGAGTAAGTCTTCTGCCTTTGGCATTTCTTACAAACAGTAGTCTGCCTCTGGACTTTATTTCTTAATTAATTAAAAGCCTTTATCAGCAAAGAAGCTTGTTTCTCCCTAAATTATACACATCAGCTTTCAATGGTATTTGTAAATTATAATAAAGGTTAAGAACTGACATATCTCTCAGCTAGAAGCAGAGCTCTAAGTGATTTGGTATCATTTGCCATGCAAAGCTTTTCTAAGCATTTTTTGCACACAGGTATATGCACCATTTCCATCTGTAGCATGCTAATTTCAAAGTGTACAAAAACATCTATATCAGATATGAGCACTGAAAAATACCCACACCCTTCTTACACTTTATGTTTTCCTTTACTTCTATACATATACATTAAGTATATGAGAAAAAAAGCTATTTCATATTTTAATTACGGAAAATATTATTTTCTGCCTGCTGCAAAGAAAGGCAGTGTTTTCTAATCCACAGTCCTCTGTGCTCCTTAATTTCCATCATATATACCTGTATTTCAGGCTCCTAATCATGAGAGATTATCAATCATAACTCCTGCAAACACGTCACTTGTCAGAAAGCTGGGCTTTATCTCAGAGATAAGTGACTCTTACAAAATTCTTGACTTCCAAGAGATACTAAGAAAGAAATATTGAGAGAAGGATCAGTTTCTTCTGACTAGCAGAGATTATACCTAGAAAATGTTCAGAGGACACCATGTTGGGAACATTTACAATCAGACACTGGTCGGGATCCAAAATGACACAGGGACATGGGAGAAGCTGAGATCAACATGATGAGACCCAGTAAACCCAAGTGACGAGTACTACCCTTAGTGAGCAGTAAATGTGCCCATAAAATATGAAACAAGAAGCTGACGACATGGCATGGCATGAAAGGAACCTGGCTTTGGAAGCTCAGGTCAGGGTGGCGCTGCTGGATATGGAAGGTGAGCTGTGCAGGGCCACTGCAGCACGGCAGACAAGGGAGGCTGGTACAGGGCTTTGGCCCTTTGGGATATCCCGGCTGGGAGGATCTAGTGCCAGATGTGTGCAGCCTGCCACGCCCAGATGAAGGCTTTGGTCTTGTTCAGCTCCGAAATGGCATGCCTGAGGCTGCAGAGAGAGGCAGAAAGATGACAAATGTCCACAGCACGTTCCAGCACGGGATAAACCTGGAGAGTGCTTATGGTGCCACTAGAGCAGAATAAAGTCACAGAATCACACAAGCAATGAAGCACAAAAAGACTGGAGTTCCTCTGAGCTCATTGGGTGCAGCCTTTGACGGAACACCACCATGTCTACTAGACCATGGCCAACATGCCACCACGTCTTTCCTCAAACAACTCCAAGGACGGTGGCTCCACCACCTCCCTAGGCAGCCCATTCCGATATGTGATGAACCTTTCTGTGAAGAAACTCTTCCTAATATCCAGCCTAAACGAGCTGGTATGGTTCGGGACACTGGCTCGGGCCAGCCCTCCCTCAGGGAGAACAGCTCCGTGCGGGACCACAGCGGGCGGCGGCGGAGGCGGCGCAGCTGAGGGCGCCCGGGTACTGGAAGAGGAAGGGGACGGGGATAGAGGAGGGGGATAGGAAAGGGGACGGGCGAGGGAGGAGGTGGAGGTGGTGCCGCTCCGCCCCGCCCGCCCCTCGGCGCCGTTTGGCGGGAAAGCGGGGCTTTGGCGGGAACTGCGGGCTTTGGCGGGCTCGGGAGCCCAGCGCGCAGCCGGAGCCCAGCGCGCAGCCGGAGCCCCTCGCCCGCCATGCCCGCCGACGGGCAGCTGCTGAGCGCCCCCGCCGCCTGCCCGGAGCCCGGCGAGCAGCAGTACCTGCAGCAGGTGCGGCACATCCTGCAGCACGGCCACCGGCGGCAGGATCGCACCGGCACCGGCACCATCTCCGTGTTCGGCATGCAGGCGCGGTACAGCCTCAGAGGTGGGCACCGCCGGGACCCCCGGCCCCTGAGCTTCCCCCCCGTCCCTGCTCCCGCCCCTCCTCCCTGCCCCTGCTCCCTGTCCCTGCTCCCGCCCTTGCTCCCTGTCCCTGTTCCCTGTCCCTGCTCCTGCCCCTCTCCCTGAGCCGGGCTGAGTGTGGGGGTCTCACACGCCGGGGCTGTCCCGCTCCCTCCCTCCCTCCCTAGGGATCTGACACTGGGAGCTACACATCCTCTCGCAACTCCTTATTTCATATCCCAACCTCACAATGTCCGGTGGTGGCATTGCCCTTTGTGTGGGGAAAAGCCGAAGTCTGCTCACCCTGGCGATGGCTGGTCCCCGCTGACACTTTTCTGGAACTCTTTTCCAGATCAGTTTCCACTGCTGACAACGAAGAGGGTGTTCTGGAAGGGAGTGCTGGAGGAGCTGCTGTGGTTCATCAAGGTTCGGTATTGGGGTGTCTCTGTGGGTGGTGGGCCCGAGAGGGGCACAAACAGAACCAGCTGCTGGGCAGTGGATGAAGGCATTGGGTAACTGCAAATGCTTCTGTTCCTGTTACAGAAGTGCAACCTCCTAATAATGTGACCATACATGGAAGGCCATTATCTCCAAGATATTCTTCATTTTAGTGCAGACTATTGCTAACAGTGCAATCAGAACAGCTTATCTTCTATTTTTCTTAAGGGAGAAAATTTGAAATAGTGAAGTCTTGGACTAATTTGAAGATACTCCACAGCTATAAGGCCTAATGCAGTCTCCTTTCTTTGTGTTTTAACCAGAAATAATAACATGATACAGATAATAGGCAATTTAATGATCTGCTTTTTAATATTGAGGTAGCTTGATTTGAACAGAGACAAGCAGTGTGGAACCACAGGTGAAGTAAGACTGATGTAAATAATAGACTTTTTAGTAGCAAAAAAATGAGATGTAATAGAGCTAATAGCTGCACCTAGTATAATAAAATTCAACTATAGTTAGTTCATTACAATGTAAGTGTTCCTTTCTATGTTGTGATATTGAGCAAGTATGGGATAATCTACATAAGCATTTGCTAGATAGGAGGACTCAAATACAAATTGAACGCCTAAAAGCTTTTGGTTTTGTTTGATTTTTTTTTTGTTTTGGTTTGGTTTTTTGTTTGTTTGTTTGGTTGGTTGGTTGGTTGGTTTTGGGGGTTTTTCTTTAATGTAAAATACTAGACATTCCCCAAAACACCATAATTTCTGTGTTGGATTTTTGAATGTGCTGATTTGGACATCTTGCAGGATTCAGTAACATTTTTCGGGGTTATTTTGTCATTTTTGTCATTTTAACAAAAGGATTTTTAAGACCTTAAGCTTATTATAGGTGGCTCGGGAAAGACTGTGCCTAGGCCATACATTTTTTATTAGTCTATTTTCATCAGTCTGTAAAGTAACATCTTGTTCTCTGCAAGTACGAAATAACATTCCACAGCTGACCTTGAGGCTGTTTGTGCATTCACAAAGTGTGAGAATCCTGAGTTAAACAACAGCAGTGTTTAACTCAGCAACTTCAAACTCCATCCCAGTGTGCTGCTCGCAAGTTTTGTTTGTCCATGTGCAAGAACCTTATGCAGTACATTAATTAAGTTCTCCTTTATTAGTGGAGAAATACTGTGGACTAGCAAACTTAATACAAGTGTTTTAAATCATGCTGTCTGTGTTGGGACTAGGATGCAAACTTCTCACTGTGTTTCGCAGGGTTCTACAAATGCCAAAGAGCTCTCTGCAAAAGGTGTGAAGATTTGGGATGCTAATGGGTCGCGTGAGTTCCTGGATAAGCAGGGTTTCAGCACCAGAGAGGAGGGTGATTTGGGACCAGTGTATGGTTTCCAGTGGAGGCATTTTGGAGCAGAATACAAAGATATGCACACAGGTAATCACATCCAAATACAGTCTTGAGTGCTCAGTGGGACAGCTGTGACACATCACTTCCAGAAGCCTGTGTGGAATGGAATGTTCTTAAAGAACCATTCACAGCAAGTTGATGGCCAGAATAAGGAGTCTTTGAGAGAGTTAATTTAACTTTTTTTTCCTTACTCAGTCTTAATTATCCTGAAAGATGTAGCTTTGCATACTAAAGTTTGGTATTTGTGGAACAGATGAGTCATAAGGCACACACTGTTACTCTTTTACCTAGAGCAGATGTGGTTGCTCATAGCTGGAAGGATGTGTGCTGCAGTCCAGAAACCTGAGCTAGCTCCATTTGATAACAGAACACAGACTGCCATCTCTGTATACCAGTGCAGAGTCCATGAAATTGTTGTGCTGGAAAGAGCTGGCATCAGTACACTACATTCACTGGAGGCAGTGAAGAGAAAAATGTTTCCATTCTGCATCTGGAACCAAGTTGGGTGTTTCCACAGCTGATGATGCTGTGGTGTGGACAGAGCAGCTGTGACAAGTTGTGATGTGATGCAGAACCTGTTGGTATTTTCAGTGGAACTGGCTTATTCAACTGACTCTCAAATGTATTGATTCCTCTTTTCCAAGTCACTGAAGGAGAGGTTATAGAAAATGCTTAGAGGACTGCCATTAAGAAAAAAGTGTCAAAAACCAGATTGTCACTATCTGGTGTGATTTTTTTTTAACTTGGATTAACAACATGGTTAGTTATCTAGGTGAGGTTTCTTGTTTGTTTTGTTTCCAGTACAGCCTCAAATTGCAGCTCACATTAATTACTGATATTAGACTTAGTATTGGCATGTTGGCCACTAGCTGAATACAGTTTTATGGTGACACAAATGATGCAAATTGTGAACTGACACATCTGAAAACTTACAGTTTCTCATCTTAAAAAGTCTAAGGCACGTCTAACATAGCATGGAAAAAAAGAGCAAGATAAATTCATATAGTTTTCCTTACAAATGTATTTCCTTAAGTTGCATTACTAATGGATAGGTAACTAGCTTCAGGAACTAACATAACTATTTGACAAGGCTTCTGGCATGGTAGTGCTGGCAGAAAAGTTCCCTGAGATGCTAATTGTATATTACTACCTTGTTTGCCAGCTTGGGTCTCCCTGTAACCATAATTTGGTGTTGCTGCAATAAGAGTTACTAGAAAAAAATAGTTACCAGCCATGCTGATTGACTGGCATGAGTCAGAACTATGATTAACAACTAAAGACTTTTTTATTCTGAGATCCATTCTAATGGTCAGTTCATTTCAGAAAATTTCTTACACAACTGGTATTGAGCCTAAAATTCAGCCTGTGTCACTGGGTGAAATGTAATATCCTGTGCTACAAATGATTAAAGTTTCTTTCTGGAGCTAAATGCTATAAAAATTTAGTTTTCATACATGACCTTGAAAGTGCTAGATGGACGCATTTATTCACCTGTCAAAAACTCTCTACTTTTGAGTGTGTAAAGAATGCTGGCACACTGGTCTGGGCATAATTTTTTAAATATATATAAGAAGGAGCACAGTAGCATGCAAATTGAATGTTTAGAAAGGCATTTTAATCCAGAAATGCAATAAGAAAATCAGTCTAAATACCATGACTGACTAGGTGGTAAAATCTTGTCCATTCCAGTACAGCTCTTGTCCTATTTAGGTAACAAGTCATCATGAGTGATAAAATATCATGCTTTGTCCAGCTAGTTTTTTTGTATTGCAACTTCTGTTTCTTGGGGTTTAGTGATTAGACAGACTTTTTAGTTGGTCTTAAAACAAATCAAGTGGTTGAAAATGGAATAAATAGAAATGGTCCTATTTCAGTGGGTGCTAAAGGTACTCAAAGGACAGAGAAGAATTGGTGGGACATTCAGAAATATCATGAGACTTTTACAAGCTCTGGACCATCCTAAGAAAGACCAATAACAGCTATGTTTGGATGGTGCCAACTTATTAATCATTTCAAAGTTGCAATAAAATCTTCAGGGGTTGTCATTTGGGTATCACTTTTCAGTGGGACATGGGCTGGCTGTTAAAAAAATACCATGATTTGAATCTGTCCGGTTTAGATCTTATTTGTTCTGTTTCTTCAGATTACTCCAACCAAGGAGTTGATCAGTTGCAAAAAGTGATTGAAACGATCAAAACCAATCCAGATGACAGAAGAATCATTATGTGTGCTTGGAATCCCAAAGGTATTGAACAGCTGGCATAAAGTGAATGCAGTTGCACATTATATTGCTGTGTGCTAAGTTACTAAATTATGTTCTGTTCCTGTGTCAACAGTCAGTTCCGTGCGGTGTCCTTGTTCATTCTTTATAAAACTACCAGGAGTGCAGTAAAAAATGGCCAGGGGTTATAATCTTGATTCTCTTTCTACTTTATCCTCATGTTCAGACCTCAAAAATAATGAACCGTTTCTTCAAAGTTTTTCTCTCCAAAAGTTAAAGTGAGGGATACACCAGTGTCTTTGACATACAGTTTATTCAAAGACAGTAACTCTTATTTTAAAAAGGTAAAAAAACCCCAAACCATAAAAACTATATTAAAGCAATGTGTCTGGCTTTTAGCCATGTATACTATAGTAAACTTAACTCTTAAAACTAGGGAACAAAAATACTATTTTTGTTGTAATCTTCTCCTTGAACTTGGGTTCATATGATGAACCTATATCATACAAATGATAGGGTCTATTTATACATAGATATCCATTCACTCTGTAGGGATTTCTAAACAAGAGCTACTGCAAGAGAATGTTTAACTTTCACCAGTGATAGACCTCTGCTCCAAAAACATCACACAGCATTTTCCACTGTTCTCTGAAACAGTATGCCATATGCTATTGCTGTTATTTTCAAGGGTAAATAAACATTCTCAGAAAATACCTGGTGAAAGTTTTCTTTGCCAAGCTGTAATTTTACTCTGCACTTTTTAAGCATAGAAAAACACTCAAAAAATCTTCTGGTTTCCAATTTTTTTTTTTTAATTGGGTAAATTTTGTGGGGGGTGTTTTTCTGTTTGGTTGGTTGGTTTGGGTTTTCTTTGGTCTGGGAGGGGGTTTGTATGTTTTCCTACTACAGAACTGGACACACTATTATAGATATGCTCTTGAATGAACATTACTTTTGTACCTCAACAAGCACATTGCAATGGGAAGAGAGTAAGATGAAGCAGTTGGAATTTGCTTTAGGGTATATGCTTAATTTTACTCTTAATGTCTTCCTTTAGGGAATTCAACTCTCTCACCAAGGTGAGTGGAAATAAACTGCTGTGCAACATTATGGCATAAGTCTGTTCTGTGGAATATCTGTTAATGACTTTCTGGTCATACAACCCAGGGAGACAGCTTGTCATGACCTGGACTTAATTGCTTGGGCAGCATGTGCTTACAAACAAGAGAAAAAGCAACAGAATGACAGTGCAGTTGGCTCTCTACTGTATCTTATTACATGCTTGTTTAGGTTTTGCATCTTCTGCATTTATCATTTATAACACACTAATGCTGTTACTGTTTTGTTTCCCCCCCCACCTTCTGTACCTCAATTCCTAGATATTTCCCTGATGGCTTTGCCTCCGTGCCATGCCCTTTGCCAGTTCTATGTTCTAAATGGTGAATTGTCTTGCCAACTCTATCAGAGGTCTGGAGACATGGGACTAGGAGTGCCTTTTAATATTGCCAGCTATTCACTGCTCACGTACATGATTGCTCATGTCACGGGGCTGAAGGTAGGCTATTTAATAATTTTATTTATTCTTGTCTGAGAAATGAGGGACTAAAAGATAAGGCTCTTCGTGTCATGCCCAAGAAAAATTGAAATGAGCATACTGTTTGAAATCTTGCTGAAATACGTGTAAAAAAGGGCCCTGTGAAATGATGTGAATTGCCTCTGGTTTGTATGGGCAAATCAGCAATGTAAGAATTTTAAAATTCAGGTTAAGCAGAATATTCTTTCATGCCTTGACTGTGTCAAGACTGCCTGTTCACTACTCTTAGAAATCTGAACTGAGTACTTGTCCTCATGGGATAGTAATGTCCAAGTGATTAGATTGTGTAGTATGGGTTTATTGGAAGTGAATAGTAGCTCAGCAGTTGCTGTCAAGGTTCTAATTTGGATATTCTGCCCATCTAACTTCCAGCTATAATTTCAGCTGTGTATTTCTTTGATTTACTACTGTAGATGATTATGTAGAGTGTAGTATGTGCTGAAGTAGCTCCTGCCCTGACTTCAGATCTGTATTGTGTAATTTGGCAGAGAAACTTAAATGCACGACAGTCTTGTACAAGGAAAAACCCCTTTTCTTTAGGGCATGTAAAAAATTATACTAGAAAGGCCTTCAGTGCCTAATCCTCCTTCCATCAGCAACATGATGTGGAACTCCTTAAAATAGGCCAATAGGGAAGAATCAGACTTCACAGCAATCGCAGAAATTAGTGCAAGGTACTAAAGAAAGTGAAGTTTAATGTTACATCCAGCTGTTGCCTCTCAGCCACTTCCTCTCATGGCTTTGGTGGTTGTCAGTGTAACACATCAGAGGGCTGATCAACATCGGTCAGAGGCCAGTAAAAGAGCTGATGAAACTTCCCCATGTGAAATTCCATTGCTCAGGAGCTGCTAAGTCACAGAACTGCAAGCTCTGGGTGCTTGCCTGTGCCTTACACCTCCACTGCTGTTAGGTAGTGGCTGAGGCAGGTGCTCTGAAGCCAGCTTTGGTGAGTTGTACTTACTAGAAGTGGAGTGGAAAAGCTGGATGTCACTGCTGCACCTTCTTTCTGTCTCAGTGAGCAGATCAGTATTGCCCCATTCATTTACCAAAGCTACTGTCATAGCAGGATTTGAAAGATAAGTTTTTTGGTAAGCTAGTGGAAATTTCATTATATTTTCCATTAATTATGCATTAGTCAGAGAAGCTTGTGCCCTTCACAAATTTCAAGGATACAATCCTGTACAGCAGCTGCAATTCCACACAAGCCAGATGCTGAGAATCAGTGCTGTAAGCATTGTAATGTTTTGCTTTCTTGGAACCTGACTGTTTGAAAACCGCATGTATTCTTCATTCTTTTCAGCCTGGAGAGTTCATACACACCTTGGGAGATGCTCACATATATCTGAACCATGTGGAACCTCTAAAAGTCCAAGTAAGTACTTATTCTGTACTCTATCCTTTTATCTTCCACAGTGCTTATTCAATGCAAAATTACCTTGATATTTTAAATGTCCTTTTGCAGATATTAATTTTTGTGGCCTTTTTTTTCTCATTTCTATCCGAATAACTGTAACATCTTAATATCTGTTCAGGCTGCAAACAGAAATACAAACATGATTGAAATATACATCTGTGTACTACTCTAAAACCAAGTTAGAGAGCCAGAATCTGCACTTTTAACTTCGAAAATAATTCCACCTAGTCCCAATAATACAAAATAAAATGTCTTTGTAATGTATCAGAAAAGGATCACTTAAAATTCATGGAGTTAATCAGTAATACTAATTGGCTGAGAAAGGCTACATTTTCTTCAGGAAGTAATTTGTTGCAGTAGGATAAAATCAGTGTTTGATTTGATTAGACTAAGCTTGGACTGAATGTCCTCATTATTAGTATGGTTCAAAACCATCCAGAAAAGCAGTTATTGATTCAGACCCTAATGATGAAAAGTGAGAAGCTGTAGAATATTTGATGCATGTTTGGGTCAGATTTTCCAATTTAATTTCCCCTGAAAGGAATGTAATGTGTAACCACCAGAACTGATCTGCCATCTGAAAGTACTTGCAGTGCATTTGGATGATCAGGGAATTCACCTGAAAATTGTGCTACTGCTCCCTGTGAAAGTGCTAAGGTAGATTCTACCTGTCTTGGTTTTTTTTTTTTTTTAGTGTAAATCTTCTTGGTGGGAAGGGAAAACCTACATAGTGTAATCTGATTTGAGAAAGTCTCTGCTTTCAGTTATTAGCTTTATACAGTAAGCTTGCTTTTATTTCAGCTTCAGAGGGAGCCAAGACCTTTCCCCAAACTCAGAATTCTTTGTGAGATTAAAGACATCAGCGACTTCAAGGCAGAAGACTTTCAAATTGAAGATTATAATCCTCATCCACCTATTAAAATGGAGATGGCTGTCTAATGCTATAAACCATCATTAAATATTAATGTGGAAATGTACCTAAGCTACTTAGTTTCTCTAAAGCAGTGGAGCTTTTGTATACTTCAAAAGGTATTTTCTTTATTGTTAAACAGTCACAGACCAGATTTTTCTTCAGTGCTACTACCCTGCAGTTGTACAGGACAGATGTTTATTCTTGATATACCATGCAGATGTTTAACCCAAGTTTAAGTTGTTAGAGAGCTGCTTTTCTACACATTGTTTCAGTTGCCAGTGGCCATTTCTGTTACCATTCAGTTACTGTGTGTGAGTAGCCCGGGTTTACATGCTTGATTTGGTACTGAAAATAAGAACTTGTATGTGTGATAAAGGATTCCTTCAGGGCGGGAGAAATTGTTAAATATATTCTAAAGAGTGTATGTTTAATAAAGTTTTTTAAAAAAATCTTCTGGAAGGCATGATGCATATTTAATTCTGGTGTGTTTTTTTATAGTTACTAGTAAAAAAGGGTTAGAAAGCAAAATGTCTTGGAGGGTAACATCCGGCAAGAAAAAACAAACTTCCCATAGTCTTCACAGATCAACCATCAGGAAGGCAAAAGATTTTAATGGAACCTTGCTGGAACTGCAATCTCTGCATAATGTCGCTGGGGTTTTTTTATTCCTCAACCCTAAATTACTAAGTTGATATAAATCAAAGAGAATTGCAGTTAAACAGAGGTTACCAGATAATATTAGTAATCAGCTGTCTGTCATCATTTAAAACCAGATCCCACAAATATATGGACTAATTTTGCAGCCTGAAGCAGTAAAACCTATAGATCATAGTATTTTTAGGAATGGAGTTCATTAATTAAATTCTAGCAGAATTCAGCTTTCAAGTCTCCTTATCCTTGTGCCTTCTGCAGTAACACATTAAATTCCTCTTCAGCAATTTAATTGTGAGTAGATATGTGGTTAATATTCATAGGATAGGCAATACATATTTGAACACATAGAAAAATGCATAGTAATTTTTTGAATTAAATTTTAAAGTCAATAAACTGGTAAATATTGGAAAAGTGTACAATTTCAGATAATTCTAAGAATTTAATAATCAGTGTGCTTTCATTCAGGGTCCTGCATAAGAGGACCATTGAAACTTTCTTAAACCAAACTGATCATAACTTTGAAAATCATACTTTGTATAAAAATTTTTTGCATATGTCATTATGCTGATTTTCCTTCTACTGATCACTTATATTGAGACTAATTTTTTTGCAGCACGAAAAGTTATTTTCCTTTCCTGACATTTAGCCCAACACAAGAAGATTGCACCAAAAAATAATCTCTGCCTGTTGTAAGCACACCAAATGTAAAGAGACCACTGCTTATTAGAAGGGTTCTTAATAATTTTCACTGTGGTGCATTATTTGTGAAGAGAGATGATCAGACAGCTCTTTCAGCTTAGATCCTGTGAGAAGCCTGGAATGGTCAAACCTCATCCTCTTCTGAGGCTGCATTAAATGGATGCTCAGTAGCCAGCCTGCAGTTGAACACACTTGGGTCTTCTCTCAAATCATCAAACTCACAGGTAGTAGCAGCATTCTTGTTACCACACCTGAGAGCTTTGTCACATGCTTCTCCTAATAAATTTCATCTCAGCTCTACTAGTCTGATATTCTAAAGTCACTTACTTCAGATGGTCCAGGTGTTATCTTTTCATTAATGGTATGTCCCAGGTGTAGTTGTCAGCCACTTCTTACCATGTGCATACTTTTATAAATTAAAGGTTCTTGAATGTTCCTACAGCCCTTTAAAGTACAAGGAAACAGATTAAGCTGCACATTCACTTAACAGTTCTGCCTACACTTAGCAAGTAAAGTTCCTTCTGCTGGAATCCACTTTATGTAACACTGCAGATAAGGTGGGTTCTGCAGGACATTTTAGCAAGTGTAGCCAGACAGGATGTGAAATAAAGCTGGCCTCAGGGCTTTACTAGTGGGAATTAGCAGTCTCAGTGGTTATCCAGGACAGGAATACCTAGCCAAGAGAATTCAGAATGGGAATCATTTACTTCATAAATTGCAGAGGAGTTAGGTCTATGGACATACATAGCATACATAAGCAGACCAGTCTCTATAGCTCTGGAAGAGTTCCTAGTTTTTAGTATAGGAATTAATTACAACTTCACTGTTTTCCCTTTATCAGCACAATTGACTACCAATAGCAGTTGGAGTGAAGCTTGTACCTTGAAGACCAAGAAGGTTTATGGTGCTCAAAAGTCAGAAAGATGTAAAAAGCTTTTCAACAGCACACTTTAATGTGAGTAAAAATAAAAATACATTTTAAAATTTGTAGGTATGAGAATTCTAGGAGCTTTCATGAAAAAATATGAATATTCAAAGAATTTTAATATATAGAGCTAAACAGGAGGTACTCTAGGAATTTTGATTTGCAGAATGTGAACACTGCTCATGCTGCAAAGATGATTACTATGACCACAGGCCATATTCAGAGCAGTATTTTAGACAAAACATGGGACATTGCTTGATACTTTCAAGAGATGTATCCTTGTATTGTTTCTCCACTTTCCAAGGGCCATTCAACAACTCAGAGATAGCAATGAAATTTCTTAGCACTTTGGTCAAATATCTACTCTACTCCACTTTCTTAGACAAGTTTTGTAACCCATTCTATTTCTGACATGTTATGGTATGTTGCAAAATTTGCCTTACTGCAGTACCACAAAGAATATTAGTTATCTGATTATGGTAGATGAGGGGTCAGAAAAGAAAAAACTGCTGAATTTTTGAGACAAACAAAACATTCTGATCAGCCATCAGAATGAAGTCTTCTAATGAGCCTGACTTGGTAAGTTTGTCGCCATAGTGACTGGCACCTGTGAAGTGCCTGAATGTGGAATGCAGCCCAGGTTTCAATGCCTTTATTAAAACCACAAACAGTTCACATCCACCTGCTTGAAGTTTAACCCACCCTCCTAACTTCCCTTTGCAACCCACAGGAAGGTGAGCTTGTGGGATAACAACACCAATACATGCTGTGGCCACCATGTAGCAACATGTTTTTTAAGGGAAAAAAAAGAGCGATCACCATAGTCAGTTGTTACTGGAATTTTTTTATATAACTAACCTGTTTTCAAGCCTTTCAGATACTTGGATATGATCAAATGTGATCAAGTGCTGGACTAATTGACAGAGGCCCCCAAATCCAGACTGGAGATGACTGCCACACTGGGACATGCAAAGCCTTTTGGTGCATAACATGAAACAACAAAAATTACAACAGTGATGCAAGCTTATGCTCAGAAATCACAATCATGAGAGCTGAAGAAACTAATCAGACTGCCTTGAAGGATGGGGAGAGAAAGATTTTCTCATTGCTGCTGCATTTTGCAGAGCCTTTCTCTGGAACTTTTTGGCCATCAGCAGCACAGACAAGCTTTCATTCACACTTCCCAGCCTGCAGCTGTCAATTTGGAGACAACTCAAGGCCCTGGCTTGTAGAAGATGTTTAAATATCACTCTGTTGTGGCAGTAGAAGGGAGAAAATGGAAAGTTAAGATCTGGAGACTCCCAAATTAACATATTATAAGAGTTGCTGGCAACTCATACAAAAGCATTTGTACAGTGTCCCTCCTGTGTGTGTCTCTATAAATCCAAATCATTTACATTTAAATGAGAGATCACATGAGAATTTGAATGAACTTCAAGGATGTTGTCAGTATTAAAAATCAGCTTATACTTGTAATGTCAAGAACACTACACCTGACACAATAAACTGAGATACACTGAATAAAAATCAGTGTGTGCCAAAGGGCATAGCTGTACTGGACTGAGTTTGGAAATTACTGCCACTTAACTGGATGTTAAATCCTGCAAGTGAAAGTGAAGTGAAAATGCCAAGTGAAAATGGCTGCTCCATTCCAGGCCACAGACATTGGCTTAATGTGCACAAAGGCACACAGAGCCTGTAGTGAGACAAATATATTGTCTCAAATATTATGTAATGCTCACACAAACTGATTGGGTGGCTCTCCCAGATAATTGCTTCACACACTCCCTCAAAATCTTTTTAGCATGTAGGCTCCTTTGGGAGCCAACTCACACCCCTCTAGTCATCTAACTGTGTCCAGAGGCAGGAACCAGGGACACTCTGGGGACAGGATTCAGCATGCCTGGGACTACACAGCTTTGGGATATGAATGCTTGCCTATGTGAATGAGCAGCTATTCCCATTTTGAGGCACCTAAAGTGAAAATAGCAGTGATTTTGCTGTAGGAAATCATTCTTCCTCCTGGAGACCAGTGCAGCCAGAAGAGACATGGCCTTGTAGCTGAGATACAGTTGGATAAGAGTCAGGATTCAATTTCTAGCTGTGCTACAGATTTCCTGTCTGGAGCTGGACTAAGTTGTTCTGTCATTTCAGGCCTCATATTAATTTCCTGTGTTTGTAGTACAGATAATTGTATTCCCCTTATTCACATGGGAATTCTGTGGATAAATACATTAAATGCTTATGTGGTTCTCTATGCTATGGTGAATGCTATGGTGAAAAGAGAGAAAGGCTATGTAAAACATCCAGTAAAGCCAAAAACCAGGACTGGCCTTTAGTTTGTAAAGCAAGGCAATACTAATGGGTCATTCAAACCCATCCTACTAGATATTCATTATAAAACACCTCCCTCTGCAAATAAAGTACCCTATCTACTGGTAGACAACAGCTGAGAGTGAGAAGTAAAATTAAATATTTTAATAGCAGGGCTTGGCATGAGAAACTGGCAGTAGAGAAATTATGCTAATGTCATCACTGTTGTTTCCAGTTGCTGCAGAGAACTAAGAATTTGTTAATTCACATTGTTTGGCTCTGTAGATTTGGTGTCAATACTTGGCAAAAAGTTTGGTGCAAAAAACCTAATTTCCTTTAATCTGGAGACTGGTATTCTGAAAGGTATCAGCCTGTCTGCTGACACCTTGCTATTCATGATAGATCTGGGAGTTAGTTCTGGTCTTTGGACTCATTAAAAATATTTCATGCAAAAAGTATTTAAATATAGCTGATGGCAGTGATTTACTACT